GCTGCGAGGCAATCCAGAGCCTCCCTGCATTGCAATATAAGACTCGAAGTAATCTTACATGCACTTAGTGCTTTCATTGCAGCCTGGCTGTCGGATAAGATTGTTATTCTTCTCCTAGGCCCACCCTCCTCCAGAATGTGAGATACACAAGCCAGAATCGCAAAGATTTCCGCCTGGAAAATGGTGGTGTACTCACCGAAAGGCAGAGATAGCCTAGTTCTAGGTCCAGAGACCCCAGCACCTGAGCCCTCTTCGGTGACGAGCCGTCCGTGTACCAGACCTGCCCGCTCACTTCGGAGAGTCCTCGGCTACCGGCGTCCCACTCCTCCCTCGTTGGGTACTCCACAATAAACTTGTGGTTGAAGCGATATTTAGGGGTAATACGATCACCCCTGCTTAGAAGGACGGGGTCCTCCCTTTCTAATTCGACTAATATGGCAGTATGCCCCTTGACCGGATTCAAGAAAGCCCAGCTGCCCTGACTCCACAGTCGATGAGCAACTGCTCTCGCTTCACCGCGGATCACCAGATCCAACGGTGGGAGATCCAACAGAGCTTCCATTGCACTCAGTGGCGTTGTTCGCACTGTGCTTGTAATGCTAATACAGGCCAAACACTGAATTTTATTGAGTTTGGCCTTAGTTGACTCAGTTCTAATGCAAGGCCACCAGACCAGGGAGCCGTACAAGAGAGATGGACGTACTATCGTCGTGTAGAGCCAGTATACCACTTTGGGTTTAAGCCCCCACCTTACACCGACAACACGTCTACAAGCCCACATCGAATTGCGAGCCTTGCTAACCTGGTGTTCCACATGCTCTCTCCAGTTCAGTTTGCAGTCCAGGATAATTCCCAGAATTTCACTGACTGGGACAAAACTAATCTAGTCCCAAAGAAGGTCGGCATGACCAGTCCGTCAAGCCTTCTTCTCCTAGTGAATAGGATCAGCTCGGTCTTTTCAGCATTAACAGAAAGATCGACTTCCCTACACCACGATTCCACGGAGCGCAGAGCGCCCTGCATAATTTCCGAGACTGTTCTACAGAAACGCCCCCTAACCACTATGCTTACGTCATCAGCATAGGCTTGCGCGTAGACACCCATACTGCTGAGCCTAACGAGCAGTTCGTTCACCACGATACACCACAGTAGGGGTGACAGAACTCCGCCCTGAGGGCAGCCTCTAGCTACGTTCACGCTGCAGCTTACGTTATTCAGCATAACTGTTGTTACCCGACCCTCCAGAGTAGAGAGGACCCAATCTATTAGGATTGATCCAACCCCGTGTCTAACCAAGGCCTGTCTGATAGAGTCGGTTGTGGTGCAATTAAATGCACCTTCAATATCCAAGAAGGCCACGAGTGCCACTTCTCGCTGATCTAGAGTCTTCTCTAGCCTCCCGACCAGACTATGTAAGGCCAGATCAGTCGATTTTCCAGCTTGGTATGCAAACTGATTTGCATGAATGACACACCTTTCCAGTGGGCCATCCCTTAGGTATCTATCAACTATCCTTTCCAGGGTCTTAAGCACAAAAGATGAAAGAGTAATCGGTCGAAAATCCTTCGGGCCAGTATATCTATCTCTGCCCGGTTTAGGAATGAATACCACTTTAGCCTGCCGCCAGCTTCTAGGAGTGAAGCCCGTGGCCACACATGCTCGAAACACCTTCAACAGGTAAGGAACAACCGAAATCCGTCCCTGCTGTAACATGGCCGGAAATACGCCGTCCAGACCTGGACTTTTGTATGGGGCAAACGAATCTACTGCCCATACCGTCCTTTCGAAGGTGACAATCTCCCTTGCCGTGCGCCAGTCCTCCCTTGTGGAACCGGGAAAGTGCGTATCCATCAGAAGCCTCAGAGTATCTTCCTCGGAAGTAGTGTTCCCCCCCGAGGGATCATGCAGAGATCCCAATCTTGCTTTAATGTCTTTGCATAGGACTCTGTGTATTCTTGCAGTAGCAGGAATGTCATTTATGGACTGACAGAAGTGCCTCCAGGATTCTCTGGAGGCCCTTCTAATCTCCTTTTTGTACTCCTGCAATACCTTTTTGTATTCTTCCCATAGAGGAGAACCTCTCCTGTGCTTAACTCTGCTAAGAAGTTTGTGCACCGCTCGTTTTCTATCCTCTAAATCTTTGGTCCAGAAGGTTGCCTTGCCCTTACCTTGTACTTTGCGTAACGGGCAGTTTTCCTCATATGCAGCCGTCAAGTCCCTGCTCAGAGACTCGACAGCTGCTTCTATGTCAGAGCCCCTGCCAAGCCTGTATGGGACCGCTCCAAGCTTACTGTCAATGTCTGCCCTAAAGGACCCCATCTAGTATGCCTGGGATTCCGAGCATATTTATCCGGAATCTCTCCATCAGTCTTGAACAGTATATACCTGTGATCCGATAGAGAGGGTGTTAGAGACACTTTCCAGTCCCTGATGTCCTGAGCTAAGTTAAGCGTGCTCAGTGTTACGTCGATAACCTCTTCTCTTACACTATTGCTGAAAGTGGGCATGTTACCGACATTCAGAACCTCAAGGTTCGATGCCCCAAGAAACTCCATCAGGTCTTCGCCCCGTCTGTTGGTGTTCGAGCTGCCCCACGTAACGTGATGGGCATTACTGTCGCATCCAATCACAAGGTCGAGTCCAGAATCCCTACAGAATGCGACAAGGTCCCCCATTTCCTTAGACGGAGGAGGGTCTCTTGAATCGTAAGGAAGGTAAGCCGAACATACAACCAAGTCCCTGTCACTGCCTTCCTTCTTATATCTAATTCTGACTGCAACTAAGTCTCTGAATGTAAATTCTTTAAGTTGCCATGAGTTGACGGAAGTCATTACGCAAGCTCTGGGCTTAGTGTCCGGAGTATCGCTAAAAAGCGTATAGCCCGGTATACTAAGCCCGTTTACTGAACCGTTTCTCAGCCAGGGTTCCTGGATGAGAGCCACGTCATGTCGGCCTCGAGTGATCTCCTGAGTAAGGGCCCTCGAAGCCGCTATGCAGTGTTGTAAGTTAATTTGGATGAAATTAAAACTTACCATGGATGTTGAGAGGCCCTTCCTACACCTTCCCGAATGACGGTATGTAACCCCTATTCGGGCGTACCGCCGTCGCCGCCGCAGTCTTCACTGCCACAGCCGCCTTCATCTCCGCTTCCACGGAGGAGTTCTCGGACTCGGTTCAGGATTCCATCCTCGTCCGAGTCGCTATCGTTTCCCTCTGGGACCAGATCCATCGCAGGGTCCGCCACGATGTTTTCTGCGGATATCCCGCTTGGACCCGCCGCCTCCACGTCCGTAGCCTCCGGTAGTTCCAGCGAGAGCTGACCCGGCCGACCCATCCCCTGTGAAGGAGCCTGGTCTACCGCCACAGCTCCCGTCGGTCTGGGCTGGTCCGACTCCTGGTTTGGAGCCAGGCCAGTTCCAGCAGGTGTCGCTCCACTGCTCTTCTTCTTGCTCAGGAGTGTAAACACCCCCGAACTTCCACCGCAACACAGCCTGTTGCCGTTACCTACAATGACCTTCCAGCTTATGGAATCAACTGAGAGGACAAGTCGGACACCTATCGGCTCTTCCTTCCTCTCAAGTAGCCTCCACGCGCTGGGAAAAGTCCCAGGATTGTGCCTCCTGAGTCTCCTCGTGATGACCTCGTTGTCCAGGTTGGGACCCGGAAACCAGGCCATCACGCGGTGGTATATGGGAAGGTCTCCAAAGCTCATCGTAATGAGCCTTGCGCCTTCCCACGGCCGCAGATCCCCCACGTGGGCCTCCAACCATGCCCTAGAGGATTCGTCCTCGCAGACAAAGATGGCTGCCCCTCGAGAGAGGTAGCAGTCAATGTACCTGGGAAGGGCCACCTCATCTGGGATCCCATCTATCAGCACACTAACCGCCTCCTGGACCTGCTGCACCTGTACGTTAGTAAGTTGAGTCCCAGGATAACCGTCGGACACGACGGCCACCCTGAGACCCGCTTGGGACGCTCGCGCATAACTAATTTGTGCATGCGTCGCAGTGCGAGGCTTCTTCCGCGAGGATGCGCCCTCCGGTGTCCCACCGGCAGACCTCTGCCGCTTCCCGTCACCGGGCCGCTTTAGGGCCTCCGCTAACACACCGGATTGCGCACCGTCTAGCCCAGATGGCGGTTGGGTCCGTCCAGCCGGGGTCCCAGAAGTGGTGCCCCGACCTTCCGAGCCCTCCGTCATCTGCGCCTCTCTCCGCTTCCGAGCCCTTTTCCTTTCGGAACCTGGCCGAGACTTCTTCTTAATCTTTAGAGAGCCCACCCTTTCCGCTAGCTCTCTCGCTAAGCTTCTGACAGATTCCTCTGTCAGAGTACGATCAGGGTCCCCTGGTGAGGGGCCGCCTGGATGTTCGGGGTACCCTGTAGGGAGGGGGCTCGGGTTTTTTATTATTTTCGTTATCGTTCGGTTCCATAATGTTCCCACGAGTATAGGGGAAGTGGTGATCGACGTCCGCGGTGCCCCTACACGGACGCAAGGCTGGATACTCTGGGAGGTCGCCCGGTGTCCCAGAGGCTCCGTTTAAGACGGTGCATCCCCACCGCCACGCACCCCTCGGCACGGAATCGCTTAACACCTTGGGTTGGGTAACGTACCATTGCCCATGATGACCGTTGAGCTGCAGGCGTCCCAGATATACATCCGAGACACCTGTGGCTCAACGAATCATTTGATTGGCCGGGCTACCGGCTTTCCGGCGGGTCTCCTCAAAAACTAATCGAGGCGGTCCACCGCAAGACCGGCACCCCGTTGCCCCCCCTACACGGTCGCACACGGTTCAGCGCCCAAGGCCGCCCCGCAGAACGAATTCGAGGACGTACGGGTTGGATTTTGTGAGGGTTAATGATAATAATAATTATAATAATAATAATTATAATAATAATAATTATAATAATAATAATAATAATTATAATGATAATAATAATAATAATTATTATTATTATTATTATTATTATTATAATAATTATAATAATAATAATAATAATAATTATAATGATAATAATAATATAGTTCCATCAGGCTTGTACTTGTTTCTCAGGACAATACGGCTTCCAACGATGTGCTGGTTACATGGTCGGTCGATTAATTCCCAAGTACCATTCTTCAAGATAGATGCCACTTCGTCTTCCATCGCCTTGTGCCATTCGTCAGCGTCCTCGCCTCTGACTGCCTGATGCATCGGGACCTCGGACAGTAATACCTCTTCAGAAGAGAGTGCTGAACCTCTCGGGGGTGTCCTGTACCTGTATATCTTTCTAGGTCTTCCCCTCGAACCAGTTCGCCGAATTCTGGGTCTCCCGCGGGCACGCCTAGGTGGCTCAGAATCGTTATCAACCTCGGGCTCTACTTGTTCCGTTGTAGGAGATTCATGTTCTGGATTTTCGTTCTCGACAACTGGGGATAGCTGTACTTCGATAGTATGCGTCTCAGATTCATTCTCCTTGGATGATCCTTCCAGAATAAAATCTGTCCATTCTTGGCTTGTGACTTCTGCGTTTTCCAAGAACTTAACATCCCTCGTGACTACGAATTTATTCTCCTTCGGAAACCAGACCTTGTATCCTTTCGTTTGTTCCGAATACCCTATGAAAATTCCTTCCTTACATCTTGCGTCTAGCTTCCCCTTGGCCTGATCTTGGTTTAGACAGAAGACCTTGCAACCAAAATCTCTGAGATGCGAAACGTCGGGAGTCTTTCCAGTCCACTTTTCGTATGGTGTTAACCCGTTCAGACTTTTGGATGGACATCTGTTCCGCAAATAGTTGGCCGTGTTGATGGCTTCAGCCCAAAAGATCGGAGGTAAGCCGGACTGCATGATTAGACATCGTGCTGTATCCAAGAGAGTGCGGTTTTTCCTCTCCGCTATACCGTTCTGTTCCGGAGTGTATGGGCAAGTCAAGCGACGTGAAATTCCGTGCTTTTTCAGGAGATCCTCCGTTTCCTTACATGTGTACTCCGTCCCGTTGTCAGATTGGATGCACTTTATCTTTTTGTTCTTTTGGTTTTCGACCAGTGTAATATATTCCTGAGTCTTTCGCACAACTTCATTTTTATGTTTCATGAAGAATACCGTGCAATACCTAGAATAATCATCTATGAATTCGACAAAATATTTGTACTTCGAGTGAGATTCTACTCGCATGGGACCGCAAACATCAGTATGTACGATTTCTAGCATATCCGATTCCCTGTCGGACTTCTTCGGGAATGGTGAACGCGTCATTTTTCCGCGTATGCAAATTTCGCAATTAAGTTCCCCATTATTAGGCATATTTTCAATATTTATTCCACCTAATCTTCCTTTCTTCAATGAAGAATTCAAATCCTGAAAGTTCAAATGTCCTAATCTACGATGCCATAGTTTGACATTTTTAGAATTCATGGTCGAAATGAAAGCTGATTTATTCTGCGCTTCGCCTTCTCTCGCGTAGTATAAATCGCCACTACGATCGGCTACAACTTTTATATCACCATTACTATCATAGATCAAATCATTTTCTTTCTTGAATAAAACTTCAAATCCTTTATCGGTAATCTTTGCAACAGAAAGTAAGTTTACTCTTAGGTCGGGAACATGAAAAGCTTTGTGGAGTGAGATGTTTTTCGTGTCGCCAAAAACGTCAGCAACAAACGTAGCTGTTCCGGAACCTTTAATGTCCGTAAATTCACTATTTGCTAAATTCAAATGATCATGTCTACGTTCAAGGTCAGAAAAACAACTAATGTCTTTACATAAGTGAGACGTTGCGCCACTGTCTAGACACCATTTCAGTCTTTTGTGATTCTGTTCAACATGATAACATTCCGCGGTAACGAGTCCCACGTGTTCGGAACAGTTCGCTTCACTTTTGTAAGGATTGGCAACAGTCTTACCTTTGTCTGGACATTCAGGGGCCTTGTGGCCTACTTTTCTGCATCTGTGACACTTATACCTGAACGTTATTCTGCCTTCCGAGACGCCGCTGCCTCGTGCACCTTCCGAGACGCCGCTGCCTCGTGTACCTTCCGAGACGCCACTGCCCCGTCCGCCATTTCCTGCGTGACCGTGATTTTTCCCATAATTCCGCTTCACGAACATGGCGCCTTCCGTTTCTCGAACGTCGCCTTTCCGCGCAGTATACTCTTCTATAATTTTTATTCGAAGAATTTCCGGGGATGGTAATTCGTCTCTAGACTCAATTGCACACCTGAAGTTTTCAAAACTGGCTGGCAGGCTATACAGTAGCATTATCGCTAATAGATCTGCATTGATTTCTACATCCATGTCATTTAACTTGTCAACTGCATCGAAAAATGAGTTTAAATGACATCGTATGTCCTGTCCCTCTTCCATACGTTGCAGTGTAAGCTGTTTGAGCAATGTGGCCTTTCTAGCGGGTCGTTTTGATTGGTAAATACCCTCCAACTTTTGCCACAGTTCCTTGGGTGTATTACAGTTCTTTACCTGTTTGATTTCTGAGGGGCTTATTGACAAAATTATGTCCGACATCGCCTTGCTGTCACCTTTAGTCCAGGCTTCTACAGCTCTCGTGGATGCTTCGTCCCCATCATCTAGCCGTGGCTGCTTTATCTCGCCAGATACATAACTCCAGTGATCGTTTCTTACCAGCAATGCCCTCATCTGTATTTTCCACGTGTCGTAGTTATCCCTGCTAAGCGAGTCTATACAGGATACTTTTGCCACACTCATGTTTGATAACACTAGTCACACACTTCCTATATTATCTTCAGCACTTGCAATAATTGTTCAATGTCCGTAGCACTGTCTCTGGGCACGTAACCTGTTGAGGATAGGTAAGCAGAGCAATTCAACTCGCAGTGGTTTTCGGTTCAGAACAGTTTATTAAGTACTTTTACATGGATGGGTAGATAAGCGACAGGTGTAGATCGGGCTTCCCCGTTCCGCGATCCGCGCGCGTGTGCTGGCTGCTGTTGTACTTCGACTGCTTCCCACGACTGACTCTTCACGACTCTGGTGCGGCGCGCGGGGACAGGACGGCGGTTACAAGCTTCTAGGTTAGGCAACCTGTCTGGTCGTCTCGCCAGTAGCGGCGCGGCGGGGTGACGCTAGTACGCGTTCCAACATAATAATTATAATAATAATTGTAATAATAATAATAATAATGTTAATAATTATAATAATAATAATAATAAATATTATAATTATAATAATAATAATAACAAGAATAATTATAATAATATTTATAATAATAATAATAATAATAATTGTAATTATAATAATAATAACAATCATTACAATAATAATAAGAAGAATAACTATAATAATTATAATAATAATAATTATTATTATAATGATAATAATAATTATAATAATAATAATAGTAATTATAATAATAATAATAATAATTATAATAATAATAACAACAATTATAATAATAGTAATAATAATAATGTAATAATAATAATAATTATAATAATAATAATAATTATAATTATTATAATAATAGTAATTATAATAATAATAATTGTAATTATAATAATAACAAATAATAATAATAATAATAATATAGTAAAGTAATTATAATAATAATAACATATAATAATAATAATAAATACTGATAATCTATAATAATAAT